CATAACCGATATTATCTCTTCCAACTCTAAGCCTACACGACTCAACTCCATCTAGGACTACTACTACTCCAAATACCAGTGCTGACTCTGCTTATCCAATTTCCAAGCCGTCTACTACTATCAACCTATCCTACTACTCTCTTCGTTCTTAAATATTTGTCTTTCTAGAGATTTCAAATAGACTACCACGTATGGATGTATATAAACGTATTTTAGAGTGTAGATTCACTCATTTTGCTCTGTATGTAGTCATTTTTTGAAATCTTTATAAAGACAAATATTTAGGAACAGAGGAAGTAGTTGCTATTAGGGGACTCTCACAAGATTATCTAACACTTCGATCCTGTTTAGCCCCAATTCACCAAACACTGGACCTCGGCACCTTGCCCTATAACCACTTACTTCAAATGTGGTGTTTAAACTAGTGTGGTGACAAAAAAAACGTCTTAGATTATGGGACGGATGGAGTATGTTATAAGCCTAATGCTCAAGATCCAACATCTACATGAAGTCCACCTCAAACATATGCATGCCGCTGTTGACGTTGTTGCTGACATTGTTCTTGTTGTCGTTGTTCTGGTCGGAGACCTCGCCGTTGGCCGCCACCGCCAATGGCACCGTGCTGGAGCTAACCGAGGAACACGACAGGATGTTGCTGTTACGGATGTTGTTCTGCAAGAGGGAGTTGATGAAGTGCTGCTGCTCCTGATGGTGGTGGAGCTGCATGGCGTTCCTGATCTGCTGCTGGTGGTCGTCCTTCTCCGGCGTCGCACCGAGGGTGAGCGCCGTCGGCCTCGTCGCCGCTACCTCCCTGGCCTGGCCCTGCTGGAGGCAGCTGATCGCGCTCGTGTTGGAGGAGATGGTCGACTTCGTCGTGCTCAGTGCTGATCAATAAATTGTACGTAAGGACAAATTAGCCCTGATAAATGATGATTATTGCACTAGGTAGGATGCAATTGGATAAAGAGAACTTGTGGGCTTACTGTTGTTGTCGGAAGGCGACGCCGAGTCCTTGGACGCCGCCATGGTGCTGCTGGCCGCCGGCTTCCTCCGGCGACGGTTGTGCTCTGCGAGCCGCCTCCGGCAGCTCCTCTTGGCCTCGTCGAACTCCGTGAGCACGTGGAACCTAAAGATGATCCAAAGTACAAGAACAGCTTAGGCTAAGCTAAACATAAAATTCAAGTTGTACGTACCTAAAAGAACTTAAAATTTTGGCTAGCTCAACAGGTGATGCATGCATGTGAACCCATATGAAAAAGTCTAGTCGCCACTGGCACCGCCACACAACACTGGTCAATGCGAGAAAAGCAGGGATATGCCCAGGGCAAAAGCCTGCCAAGGATCAGCCACTCGTCGCAGCACGCAGCAGTCTGGACTCTGCAGCTAGCCCAAAGAAAGCGGATCACTTTTTCTTTTCCTGATCCTGTCTCCATCGATCCCCAGGGCCGGAGAACGCCATTGAAAAGCTCATGTTTGTGCTATACATGCAAGGACTGGTCGTCTCTGAGACTGAGACCTCATGGCCGCTGCAACGGACAAGCGAGATGAACCAAAAACATAGTGAAGACTGGAAAGGCAAACAGTTCCCACTAGCCAAGCTGCAACCTAGCTAAGCTATACGGACTACGGAGTATACTTGTGCAACAACATCAGTTCACAAGTTTGGCTCCTCTTCTGTACTCCTGAGAGTATGTACTCCCATTCTCAATATACCTCATATACGCATTAATTATATCTTTTTATTATTCTCAATATACTTCATTAAATATTCTAAGGAGGTAAATACACCAGGAGTCATAAAAACTTGCACGCGACGGTCAGTTTAGTGCATAAACTTGTAAAATACGTGTTTCTGATCATCAAACTTGCGTGGACGTGCAAATACGGTCACATTTCCTGTACACAGATGTATTCACTGCCTACATGGCATGCCGGCGTGGCCGGGGCCCATTGTCAGTGGCTGAAGCGTTGTGCATGTGATATTTTTTATAGAAACACCCTCAAGTTTTTTTAAAACTTCGTACAAAAGCCCTCCAACACAGGTAATGTTAAATAGTATCCCGCTGGGTCCTGCCTGTCGGTGTGCATTGTGAATAATTTGGACTAGAAAATCGGTCTGAGGGAGTTCGAACCATCGACTAGCTGTAACAACCACACCACCGTTGTTGTTTACACGGACTATCAATGTGTAGATCCTTTAGGCTAAATAAAGGTACGCATTTAGAATTATATTTTCTTTTCTCAACATTTTCAAATTTAAATTATTAAAATTCGAACATATTTTCCGCTGATTTGTCTGAAAGGAAATGATGGACATTCATTCTGCACTATATTTTGCTTTTTAGATTTTGTAAATTAAAATTATTAGAATTCAAGCAAATTTTTAGTTGACTTGTCTGGACAATTTACGTACCTTCATTCTGGCCTATATTTTTCAATCTAGTTTTCCAATTTAAAATTATTCGAATTCAAACAAAATTCTGTTGATTTGTTCGAAAGAAATTTATGTACATGCATTATGGACTATATTATCTTTTGTTTGGGTTATTCAAATTCTTAAAAAGGTTGATTTGTCAAAAAAATATGTACATTCATTCTGACCTATATTTTCTTTAATCAAGATTTTTAAGTTTAAAGTTATTCGAATTTAAACAGAAATTTCTTTTGATTTGTCCAAAGGAAATTATTTACATTCATTCTAAAGTACAATTTATTTTATCTAGGTTTTTTCATTTAAAAGTATTCGATTTCAAACAAAAAATTAGTTGATTTGCCCGCAAACATACATTCATTCTGTACTATATTTTGTTTTATCTACATTTTTTAATGTATTTTTTTGAATTCTAAGCGCATTTCTAGCAAATCCCTCATATCGCGCCGATCCATAAAATAATCGCCAGTTTGCGGTTTTGCGCCAAAAAGTTGTCTGAACAACTGTAAACACACTATAAGGATCCGCATATATGGGGTCTGCTATAGATACTCTAACGGAAATTGGTTGATTTGACCGTAAAAAAATGCATGCATTCATTCCGGAAAATACTCAAATTCAATAGACAAATCTGGTCAATCTGTCCAGAAAATTTATCTAGAATATAAGTTGTTTACTTACATAGAAAAAACAAAAGCAAAATACATAAAATAAATTGTGTTTATCTTTTCATGTGTCATTGTGGCCGGATGGTTCGAACCGGGGCTTCCACCTTTTCATGAACCCTTTTCTGGTTTTGATTTCTATTTTAATTAGAACGGTCCTCATATATAAAGCTAATTGTCCACGTTAGACGTCTAACGTCAAACGTCAGTTAGCCGATTGGCGGGCAATATGCATGCGAATTGCAGGTGTGGTCGAATCCCATCCATACTGATCCATCTTTTTTTCTGTTTTATTTCAGAATTTTCTATGTAAAAAAATGAAATGCAAGGGTGCTTTCTGGAAAAAAAATCTCAGCCACTGACAGCGGGCCCATGTAATGTTTTTTTTGACATGAGGGCCCATGTAATGTTGGCATGCCGTGCATGCATGTAATACGCCCAGCTACGGTAGAAAGAACCGTATTTGCACGCCCACGCATGTTTGATGACTAAAAACATGTATTTCACAAGTTTATGCACCAAACTGACCGTCACGTGCAAATTTTATGACTGCCCGTGTATTTACCTCTATTCTAAGATACCACAATACGAGTTTTGTTGAAAAAATACCATCTGTGATGTACTTTTTGTAATATACCTTTTTTACGTACAAACACATCAGTATATACGTAAACATTTAAAAATATGTAGACTCACATGAATTTTTTTCATGCAACTCATTTTGAGGTATCTAATAATTACTAATGAAGTATATTAAAAATAATAAAGTGATATAAAAGATTCATCTATGTGGTATATAAAAAGCGGGAGTACGTACTCCCAGAAATACACAACCATTTTCCTATATATATATATATATATATATATATATATATATATATATATATATATATATATATATATATATATATATATATATACGGCTGCGCTATTGTGAGCGTGCGCGCATTGTTGCTTAGCCTGCGCTCCGGCCGTTCCTAATCAGGCGTGCGGGTCGCGTCTCCATAGCAAGAATGTTTGAGGGTAACGGTATGTGCAAAAGAAAGTAACACATTTAATTCTGTTACCATGTGTTACTCCGCCACGTTCTGAATTTGGGTAACTATTCATTGCTAGTAATAGATTAACTATAGATGGTAATGGACCTAGTTTTTTACCGGGATGGGAGATATCTATGGTTTCATCCCTTATCGTAGTAAAACCTTCTTGAGACGTGCAGTAACACATTACTAGATGCTCATTGTGGATGATAATGCAAAAAAAAATGAACAAAAAAGTCAAAGATGCTTTGATCCAGGCTGATATATGTAGTAATGTATTACTACAATCATGGGGACGTGGGTACAAAATGTAACCATGATGGTAATCTGTTACAACTTAATAAGGGCCATTTACTAGTGCCATAATACTGATAGTAACATCTTTACTAGATCCTATATGACTGATTACTGATGGTAGGAATTAACAGTTGGGCTAGGCCTTTTTACGATGTTTGGACAATCACGATGAAGTGAAATGTAGGCATGCGAGGGATGGCTCTGTTAATTAGCGCATGGTAACCTGTTACTACTATTCTTTTTTCACGAAGGAAGTTAGCAACGTGGAGCAGTTTCGGTCGTAAGACGTTACGTTCGATTTTCCCCACATTGTGCACGCCCTTCCGCCTGGTTAACTAGGGCTACTTAACGCATACTGGCTGGTAGGCTTGAAGTGGCCGGAGCGTAGGATAGAACACCATGCGCGCAGGCACAGTTTAGCAAGCCTATATATATATATATATATATATATATATATATATATATATATATATAGGGAAAATCCATCCTACCACCCGGTGGTAGTTACCCCACATATCTCATATACTACCATGTGGTACTATATATACTATTTTATTATTTTAAATATGTTCATATAATATATCTAAGATATTTCAAAGCAAGTTACATGAAAAAATTGCATATGAGCCCATAGTTTTTGTTATATTTGTGAAATACGTACATATTTGTACGTAAAAAAGAGCATACTCAAAAAATGGTACATACTACCTAAAAATTTGTACATATACTACCTAATCATTGTTATATACTACATACTACACGTACATACTCTCGGTTTCGACAGATACTACATACTACATACAAAACACAAGTGGTGGTAACTACCACTGCTTGTAGGAAACATTTGTCCTATATATATATATATATATAAGAGAGAGAGAGAGAGAGTTGATGGAGGGTGGAGTGGGGTATGGGGTCTGACTCTGCTGACCTGCTGCATTGCTGGCAGAAGCGCTGCTGCTTGCCGGCGGCGGAGACAAGCGCCGCCTTGGCGTGGTACTCGCACACCTTGTGGCGCCGGTGGTAGTGCTTGGCGCCGGAGAGGTCGGCCTTGCAGTCCTGCACCTGGCACCGAGGCGCCTGGTGGTGGGCGCGCCCGAATCCCAGCCCGAACACGCCGCCGAGACGGGACCGCATCAGCATCCGGTCCACGGCCATCATGTCGCCGGGGGAGAAATAGGTCCGGCGCCCGAGGTTCAGCCCGATCCTCCCCGCGTCCCCGGCGCCGCCCTCGCGCTTCACCATCCCCATCGCCGAGTACACGTCGCCGTGGCTGTGCATCCCGTGGGGCATGGGCGGCATCTGCAGCTGCATCCCGGGCATGGGCGGCGGCGCCATGGGGACGAGCCCGCCGGCGCCGTTGCCGTTCAGTGGCAGCGCCAGCATCTGGTGGTGCGGCGCGTCCTGGAACTGACCGAATTCGGCGGCGGCCGCCGCGAAGTCGAAGTTGTCGTACATCATCGCGCCCTGGTTGCGCTGGCCTCCTCCTCCGCCGCCGGCGTGCTCTAAGCCGACGTAGGGCGGCTGCTGCATTGCCGCGAACGGGAAGTCGTCGCTCGCCGCCGCGTTCATCCTGCCGCCGCTCATCATGGCCCGACAAGGGGAGGGCGGGAGGCCGGGGGAGCTAGCAGCTGGGAGGCGTGTGGTTGGCTAAGCTCGCTCGATAGCTGTATGAATCGAGGTTGTGCTGTGCTGTGCTGTGTAAGGTGGTGGAGGGCGGAGAGGTGGTTAAAAAGGAAGACAGGGAAGGAGGGAGCGAGAGTGATGAGTGTGTGCGTGTTCGTTGGCAATAACTCTTGGCGCGTAGCTTGTCCGGGAGTGGCATATGGAAAAAGTCCAAAACAAATCTTAAATTTGTATACAAAAGCTAAGTCGAACCTAAACTTTTAATCCTGCAAATTAGCACACCGAACTTTTCGTTCCCAGTCAATTTTAAACCTTGAAGGCGTTTAGGCTTTTTTTTAGAACTGAAGGCGTTTAGCTGGTATTTGCTTTTTTTCTTGAGACAAGTTTAGCTGGTATTTGCTAACGTGGCAAGGGTTGTTGACTGGGCTGGCTGGACATTAGAACAAATCAGGCCGGCCTATTAACGTGGTCTCTCGCGCGCTCGTTATGCTCGGTTTTTTTGTTTGTTTTATATTTTCTTAATGATAATAACTTCATTTACATTTTCTTAATGAAAATAAATATTTTCTAAAAATATACACGAACCCACTTTTCATATATTAGGAGCGACAAAAATAGAAGCAACAGTGAGCTTGTGAGAGATCTCGAGCTAGCTAGGGAACTGGAACTCGCGGCAGCCGGACATAACCAATCGCCATGACAGCTGCTAGTCGTTATAAATTGCGCGTTACATATAAGAAAAGATAGGAACAAGTTCATATATGAACACATTTTGGAAAGCCTTCAAAACATTTATTGAAAAAAATCTAAATAATTTTAAAATAATGAATATTTTTAACGCAAATAATGTAAAAAATGCCAAAAACATTTTTTTCGAAAATGTGACAGGTTAACATTTTTCCAAATATACATTTTAGATTTTGCAAAACTATACGAACACTTTTTACATTGCTAAGAAAATTAAAATTTGTTCAGGTTTCAATGTTTGTTGCATTTTCGCAAAAAATGTTTATGTTCCAAGTAGTGTTTGCTTTTTCAAAATTAATTGTGTCTTGAAAATAATCATTCATTTTTAAAAAGTATTCAGAATTTTCAGAAAGTGTTCGCACTTTAAAAAATGCAGATATTTCAAATGTCGTTCGGGCCTGCACGTTTCCAATATACGTTTGTCCCTGACAAATATTTTCAATTTGGACACGGATGGACTAGTGGCTAATAGCATCTCAAAAGGCACACCAAAACTGTTTCGGGCGCTAAAATTCGGGTTTCTGGGCGCCGGACAGCTCCAACATAAGCGATAAAATACTGCATGCACGAAAAAATTTGGGCACGCGCTAAAAAGTGCTATCAGAAGCTACAAATTTTGGGCGCCGGATTACGTGCACTTCACAATTTGCACTGCATGTTTTTTGGGCGCGCGTTTTTAGGCATCTGCTAAACCAATGTTGGGTCCGGCGCGCTAAAAGTGCTACAGTGGCGCGCTAAAACTATTTTAGCACGTGAAACTTTTGTGCACTTGTTGGAGATGCTCTAAGCGAATGGACTTCGAAACTCGTGGGGCTAGTTTGATTACTCGAGAGTTAATTTTTTTGGGTACTTTTACTTCCATGCTACGAAAAAAAAGAAAATTCTGTTTGTGTCTTTTGGGCCGACCCACTCGCGAGCACATTCAACTATCATGGGATTCCACCTGCCAGGTCCACAATCCCTGTTTGAGAACGTGCTCAAGGTTCAAAATAAACCAGGATTAAAGAGCTTGGTATGCTGATTCTTGGAATTAAGAGTTTAGGATTCGAATTAGCTTTCGTCTACAAGTTTAAGATTTATTTTGAACTTTTTCCGTGGCATGTAGTATGTGTCTGCTGCCTCACTAGACGAAGATGGCCGGCCGTCTCGTTGCTGTTCCGGTGCAACAAGTCGCTGTGGTTTTTCGAGGAGGAAGCATATACCACCCATAGAGAAGATATGCATGGACACTTGCGTGGGCCATTTACTTATTTCTTACTGTTTTTCTTGTGGTTGCAAAATCAAAATGTGATGCGAGAGCAACTAGTTAACGAGCGCTTCTTCGGGAGCCTCGCAACGATCAATGCCATTTGGTGCGCTCTCAGCTGTTTGTCACGTGTCGCGCTCTGGGCGCTCCCTTCGGATTTTTTTCCGCATGCATTTTCGGCTTTTGAAACAGTTGTTTTCGACGCTTTCGTTTTTCATCGGTCTTTCTTAGCTTTTCGACAAAAAAATTGAAATTTTTTTGTGTGAAAAGACGCCTTTCGCGGGAGTCATGGTTTTGCTTCCCGTAGAGGCACGGGTGTGCTTTCGTGAGAGTCACGGCCGTGCCTCTCGAAAATGAAAAAACGCGTTTTCTGTTTTTTTTTCTTTCGCGAGAGTCACAGTTTTGCTTCCGCGAGAGGCACGGGTGTGTTTTCGCGAGAGTCACGTCCGTGCCTCTCGGAAACGAAAAAAACATGTTTTCTATTTTTTTTTTCTTTCATGATAGTCACGGTTTTGCTTCCGCGAGAGGCACGGGTGTGCTTTTGCGAGAGTCACGGCCGTGCCTCTTGGAAACGAAAAAAATCGCGTTTTCTGTTTTTTTCTTTCTTTCGCGAGAGTCACGACCGTGCCTCCTCGAAAACGGAAAAAACATTTTTTTTCCGCGAGAGGCACGGTTGTGATTTCGTGTGAGAGGCACGGGCGGGCCTCTTTCAGAAAGAAAAAAAATTCGTGCTCCAGGTTCGGCCTTTTCGTCTGATTTTTTCATGAAAAAAAGTTCGTCAAAACCTATCAACATAGGATCTAGTTTTGAAAATCTCGACACGAGGAATCCAACGGTGAAAGCGGTTCGAGATTTGGACGCACGGTTTGAGAGATAAAACATTTGAATAAACGGATCTATGAAAAAAAGGAAAACCCCAGGTTGCGACAAGTGGCGCACACCAGGGGAGTTGAAGTGATCTTTGCAACGAGTACTCGTCAACTAGTAATTTCGATGTGATGCTGATTCGAATATGTGCTCACTTGATCTTTTTTTTTTGGGCCGGATGTTCCATCAACCTTTTGTGTTCTTTAGGGTAACTACAACATGGATCACTAACTCGACTGCGGTCCGGACACTTTTAGTCATCCCGCGGTCATTAAATTTGTCTAGACCGATCCAAATGTATGAATTCATGCAAACTGACATCAAACTAGGGGCAGGTTCTGGGCCAGATGTCCTCACGTCGAATTCCAGCACCCTGGACCCACCCAAAAAACCCTTCTCCGCATCTCGAGAATCCTCCGCGCATTCCGAGCGGACATGATTGGCCGGCTACTCGTATTCATACAAGCTGACTAGCCGTCCGCCTAAATGACATTCACACCAGCATAGAGCCCGGAATGCTTACTCTCGTGCTCCACATTTAGCTAACTACTCTGCCTTCCTCGGCTATTTAAGCCGTCCGACCATGGCCGAGTAATCTACCCCTCCGCTATCTGTTCTGCAGTTCGACCCACCGTTGAACCACCCCTTCTCACCCCGTCCGAGCCCCTTTGCATAATCGTTCGTCATCTGCTGACACAATGGCGGGCACCCCTCATGGGTGGTGGAGGCAGCTCTCACCGTGGTGCCGCGCAAAAATCATAGCGGAGGTCCACGCCGCAGAGGCCCGGCATCGGGTCCGCATTTAGTTGGGCCAACTCTGAGCTCTCTGGATTCGAAACCGAGCTCGGAGGAGGAGGAGATGGAGCAGGAGGCAGAGGAGGAGCAGGTGTCGGTGGAGGAGCCAGCAGTGTCTACATTCAAACTTCTGCAAGCGGAGCAGCACTACAACCTCCAACTCCTGAGGAGCAATGGCTGATAGAGGACTAACTGGGCGCGGAACGCGCGAATAAAGCTGTCGCGTCCATGGTTGCGGCGGACCCGGCGATCATTGATGTCCACCGGGCCATGCTCGTCACCATGCACAACACCCGCACCATCCACCACGACCGTTGGTAGCTCCGCATGAACAAGGTGGGCCGCAACCGGCTCTTCGAGGGGGCCGAAGCTGATGACGATGACGTGCGTGGCCAGCAAAACAATGTTGCCAAAGAGGCGTCCGTCGTCAGCTCCTCCTCATTTGCGCCGGCCGCCAATGACGACAAGGCCAGACTGCCCTGCGCGGTGCTCGTCGACCTCATCTCCGATGGGGAGAAGTATAATATGATTTTTAGTTGTTTTTTAGGTCCTTTTGCTATGTCCGTTTTTATTTGATGACGCCCATTGTCTGCGGACACGTCCATGCACATTTTGTGCCTTTCATTTGGTGATCCCGCTGGAGTTGTCCTTGCTCTCAGCATTTTTCTCCTCAAAACGTATGCTCGATCCCATTGACCATGTGTGTGTGCATGTGTACTATCGAAACGATACAGATAGGCAGAAAGAGCAAGGGAAGGGAGGAGATAACTAAACAAAGACTACCACCGCTGCTACTTGTGATACTATGATCTTTGTCTGTTTGTTTCCTGTGCACAAACGACACCTACCAAGCAGCTAGGGAGCAGTTGGTGCTTTCTTGAGGGCCACTTGGCTGTTGTCTAGTGTAGGTCAAAGCTATAGGGTTGGTTTCTTACTTTCCCACAAGGGCCCGGCTTTCCTTCGTTAACACACCAGCAGAGCCAACAGTCAATGCAAAATAGTTGTGTGAGCTAACCATTGTGGAAACATGAGCTGTTTTCTTTGAGCAAGTAAAATGAGATGTTTAAGTTACCTCCTAGACGATGAAGCTTATAGTTAACATAATACAAGTTCGTAGCATGTGGAATAATTGGGTCATGGATGGAAATTCTTCGATGGCATGCTTGTCAATAAAATAGCAAAATCATGGGATGGCTTAAAAAAAGGTTTACCAAACTAACAAGTGGGAGTTGGCAATTGCATAAGCTTGTTTAATAAGCACAAATCAAACTGTAATGGACTCGCTGATTATTCTGCTAAAAATATGTTT